AGGTCTAAACCAGGTCTAAACCAAAACTAAACCAGGTCTAAACCAGGTCTAAACCAGAACTAAACCAGGTCTAAACCAGAATTAAACCAGGTCTAAACCAGAACTAAACTAGAACTAAACCAGGTCTAAACCAGGTCTAAACCAGGTCTGTACCTAATAAAGTGTCCGGTGTCTTTGGCCTCTCTCACTCATCTTTCATTAAAGTGTTTCCTCTCAAACCTTAAATCAATAAAAGTGTTTTCCCTGCAGCTGTCTCCTCTGCTCCTCTCCTCCATCACTCCCCAAACACAAAGAGCTCCAGAGCTCCCCAGGGGACCAGGACATCAGCTGTGCCCCAAAAAGCCTCCTCTCTGCCCCCATACCCCGCCGCCCGCCGCCCCCTCAGGACCTCTTCCAGCACGGCTCGGGGATTGAAGTAAAATATCTAACTGCAATTTTTCTGACAAGTATTGAGATAAGATTTGAGATTTATGTTTTAATAAAAGATTCTGTTTAAAGTTCACATTTTAAACACTTCCAGATAAAAAAAAAGAAATGTCAACTGACAGAATGAAAACACGATAAAACCAGAACTAAACCAGAACTACACTGGGACTACACCAGGACTAAACCGGGACTACACCGGGACTACACCGGGACTAAACCGGGACTAAACCAGGACTAAACCGGGACTACACCGGGACTAAACCAGGACTAAACCGGGACTACACCGGGACTACACCGGGACTAAAACAGGACTAAACTAGGACTAAACTAGGACTACACCGGGACTAAAATAGGACTGAACTAAGACTAAACTAGAACTAAAAAGAAATCTGAACTTTGTTGTTTGTGGAGGAAATTATGAGATTTGCATCCATTTATATTGCAATTTTGTTTTGATTCTGACTCATCTTGCAGCTCTATCCTCCAGAACCCCCTTCAGGACCTCCTCTAGGACCCTCTCCATGACCCCCTCCAAAATCCTCTCCAGGACCTCCTCCAGAACACCCTTCAGGACCCCTTTTAGAGCCTCCTCCAATACCAATCAACAGAGCACAAATGGTCCTCAAAATGGCCCCTTAATCAAGCTCCATTTCACAGTAGCAGAATGAGGAGGCAGGTGAGTGTGTGGTGAGCATCAGCACACAGCTCATGGACACAGGGACACAAAGAGCTTGTTTTACACAAACACAGTGTTAAACTCACCCAATTACACTCTGAATGTCGTCAGTACAAGTACACGACACACACTGGTGTTTTACATGCGCAGGAATATTCAATTGGATAATTGTATAAAAGACAAAGTGATGTGTTACTCATCACCTGCATGAGTCCACCAAAAGTGAAAGTTAAAGCCACACTTCGGAGCATCTCCATGGACACAGATGCCATACTGTGGAGGATCATAGTTATCAAGGAACAACATTTCCATGGACACAAACAAGTGGAGGCCCTCTACAGACCAATGAGAGTCAGATCTGTGGAGAAGTAACTCACTCACAGTAAGAACACGCTTTTTCAGAGCAATATAAACACCCAAAATGAAAAAAGAAAATGACACGTGTATAGTCATATCAGTCTGACCTTTTACAAACCACACACTCATATTTACTGTGAACAGGTGTATTCTTCTTGTTTTTATTAATCACTTATCAGAAAGTTCCACATCCGTCGAGCCCCGGCGTCAGGGTGTGAAAAATCAACAAAAATTTGACCTAAAACTTGGTCTGTCACTGAGAAACGCACATTGGTACAAATGACACTGGTGCTGTCACGATACAAACAATTAAAACTCCATTTCAATAAGAATAGACTCAATATCAATTCTGAAACCAACATGATAACAAAACACTTTCTTTAGACAATAAGAGATTTCCACATTAAATGGTAGTACTTTCTTTTCTATTCATATGTGTCTTATACAGTGGTCCAGTAGGTTCACAGTGGTCCATGTGCACTTTAAACCCAAACATTCAAAGTAATTAAATAGATGAAGTTGTGTATACTCAAAGTTTAGAAATAGTCCTTCTAACTTAATTATGTCAGGTTGCTGTAACATGTTCTTCTTTTTGAGTAATTTTAACTCATATGTTTTGATTAAAGTGAACTATTGTGGGCGTAAGCATAACTTAAAAACATAGATCAGGTACAATTTAGTAGAATTAAGTAGTTTAAAAATCATATGTAATATGTGTATTATCCACTATGTGTATTACCAGTGTTGGGAAGGTTACTTTCAAAATGTATTCCCCTACAGATTACAGATTACACACCCCAGAAGGTAGTTTGTAACGGAATCCATTATGTTACTTAATACTGAATACTTCGGATTACTTGGTTTGCTGTAGAAAAGCAAAGACAAGGATAACATAAGATGTTTTGTCTGCTAAAAGAAAATAAAAAGCCCAAACTTTACTTAACCAGATTAAAAATGTTATTGATAGAAGAGGAGGAGACACATCCACGCAGTATGATTTAGTCCTGTTAAATCCTGGTTTAGTCCTGGTTTAGACCTGGTTTAGATCTAGTTTAGATCTAGTTTAGATCTAGTTAGGTCTAGTTTAGACCTGGTTTTAGTCCTGGTTTTAGTCCTGATTTAGACCTGGTTTAGCTCTAGTTTAGACAGGGTTTAGTTTCCGGCAATGAGTGGAATTACCGAGGAGAAAGGGGGGGGGTAAGCCCAAAATGTGAAAACAGGAAAATACCGCTGTGTACTCTATTTATTTCAACAAAGTAACTGTAATCCTATTACCACTCACTGAAACTGTAACTGTAACTGAATACAGTTACTCATAATTTGTACTCTGATTACGCAACTCCGGTACATGTAATCTGTTACTCCCCAACACTGGTGTATACTATAATGTGTAATGTATGTAAATATGTATGTATGTCTTTTTAAACTATATACAGGTTATATAATATTGATTAGACTAGTAAAACCCCTGAATTTCACATAGGGGACTCGCGTTCAAATCCCCCTTCCCCAGTATGTATGTGTGTATACAATGTGTTTATATGTGTGTAGATACAGCTGGAAATACTGGACTGTGTGTGTACAAAAATCATGGATTACATATAAAACTGAAAATTAAATAAATGATACCAGTGGTTTGAAAACTCTACCTGCAAATATCTGAGCTGAGCTAAATGAGCACTTTAAATTCAGCTGTTATCAAAAGGTCCAAGCCATCCAACCTTTTAAACTCATCAACTTAAAATAAATGAGGCGATCGATTGCCTCAATTATTTTAAGTTCTGTTAACTTATTTGGGTTTACAGTGTGTGTATACTAGTCTATGTGGTCTTCTGCTTCATCATTACATCTACTACATCGTTCTAAAGACATTCAGGAAAGATTTACTTCAGTCTTGTCAATGAGATTTGTTTTAGTATTGATACTTGCTCAAAACAGTATCTAGTATTAGTATTGATTAGTGTCTGATTTTCAATACTTGTCTACAATCCTTGTCCACTTTTTACTAGTAATAATCAGTGTTGGGGAGTAACAGATTACATGTACCGGAGTTGCGTAATCAGAGTACAAATTATGAGTAACAGTTACAGTTGCTGTTTCAATGAGTGGTAATTGGATTACAGTTACTTTGTTGAAATAAATGGATTACACAGCGGTATTTTCCATTTTCACATTTTGGGCTATATCCCCCCTTTTTCTTTTTTTTTTTTTTTTTCGGTAATAACACTCATTGCCAGAAACTAAACCAGGTCTAAACTTAAACTAAACCAGGACTTAAACCAGGACTAAACCAGGTCTAAACTAGATCTAAAGGAATTAACAGGACTAAACCATGCTGCGTGGACATTTCTCCTCCTCTTCTATCAATAATATTTTTAATACGGTAAAGTAAAGTCTGGGGTTTTTATTTTCTTTTAGACAAAACATTTTATGTTACGATATCCTGGTCTTTGCTTCTCTACAGCAAATCAAGTAATCCAAAGTATTCAGATTACGTTACTCACTTTAAGTAATTTAATGGATTCTGTTACAATCTACATTTTGGGGTATGTAATCTGTAACCTGTAGGGGAATACATTTTAAAAGTAACACTCCCAACACTGGTAATAATGTAATACAATAATAATACTTTTTTTTAAGTAGCAGTAGTTATTTTTAGACACTTTGGACGACTCTACTCTCACCTTTGCCTATTACACTCACAACAATCCCTCATTATAACTGACTACATGTAATTATCAGGTATCAATACTCACACACACACAATGCCTGTCTGAGATGCAGGACTACATATTCAATATCAAAATACACATTCTTATGCATAGATTAACCATACTGATTAATGACAATGAAGAGTAGCCTAATAATTGCGTAAAATAAAGTGTATACATGTGGGAGCTGGCAAAAAACAGAGCAGTGAAAGTGATCTCCAAAAGTCACAATGCACAAAAGCATCATACCACATCACACTGCTGTCACGCCTTCCCATTTTAGCCAAGTACGTACTCCCCGTTTGCTCCAAGAGGCCATTTAAAACAATACTGCAATTATCTTAGCATTCCTCCAACTGGCTAAGCTTCAGCCTGCAGTGGAGGGTTTAGGTACCGTTTAACAAAGGCAATAAAGGAGAAAGCATCGAATCTTTTGTCATGCAACTCAGCAAGACGCACGGGCTACTGTAAAAGAGACGTGCGCGTTTTAATTGCACCAAAACAGAACCAAAAAAAAAAAAAAAAATGCGTTTCTTTCGCTGCACAATTCTCCTCGCACGTTTAAGCCACTGCCCTTGGAACCAGACGCGCCGTGAACTTGTCATGTGCAGATAGCGTGGCTTTATCAATACAGTTCCACCCAATTACGAAGCAAGGTGTTCAGGCTAGTCAGCGCAAAACGTGCTGCAACGCAATGAAAGAACAAGGGCCGTTTAGGGTTGACACGTGAAAGAAAGAACCAAAAAAACTCAAAGAATATTAAGATCAGCGAATGCGTTTGTCAAATCCCCAACCATTTTTTTTTTAAAGGATAGTGGAGCCAGGCTTACCTCAATGCCACCTTTACGCAGCAGTCGCCCGCGTTTGCCATTGTCGCTTCCTCTTCTTATAACCCAAAAAAGAACCAGAGCGGACGGGGAGAGGCGTGGAGGACAGAGCGGTAAAGCGGAGGCATGGAGCGGGCGTCAGGAGCAGCGAGACCCGGGGACGGTGCACCTCGCTCGGTCGGCTCCTGTCTGCTGCTGCTGCTGCTGCTTCTGCTGCTGCTTATCCTCCGCGTTGCTCGTAGGGTTGGTGGTGGTGGTAGACGCGGACATTTCTGGGTGAAGTTAGCCGTCACATATCGAGTCAAAGCGGGGTAGAGTCGCGAGGGCTTCCGCAGTTCATGTTGTAAACCGCTACATCCTGTTTTAATCCGGTGCGTAAAGAGCGCACGTCTGTACAGGCACACAACTGTACTGCTGTCTGTCTGCCGCTGATACCACACGAACACGCTGTGAATGAGACTGGGGCAGTGAAGGGCTCATGGTACGTTCACGGGACCTTGGAAAACTGAGCTGCTCAGACCTGGTGTGAGGAAAAATGCCAACTGATGAATTTGGAAAAGACGCGTAATTCTGGGTGTGAGTCTATGCGTTAATCTTGCGTAAAAAGATAAACAATTATTGATACTTAAATAAACTCGATTTCAATAGCTAGTGTGTTCTAATAAAAACAGTCTTTCTTTAGACAATAGAATGTGATTTTTAACATTAAATCATACTTTCTAATATTCCAGACGTCCCTGTGCTCCGGGGACAGTCCCAGTTTTGAGCCCTGTCCCAGCAGATTTATACAAAACCACTGAATCAGAGTCATGAAGGTTTGCAAATTAAAACACAGGTGAAGTGGAGGGTCGATCGAGGGCCACAGACTGGTGATCAGTACAGACAATAATTCATATCTGTGCATTTATAAGTGGTTGGAATGAGTCACATGACCTTTATTCATGCTTAGGTCTTCACCCAATTTGGTATTTTTGGTACAGGCCCATTTACCTGGAAGCCTGAGGGCCAAGAAAAAGTAGTTTGAGGGCCGTATTTGGGCCACAGGTCATAGTTTGGACATGCCTGATCTAAACCACAAAAAACAATATCTGGCTAAATGAAAATAACTTTTCATCTTGACAAGTACAATGATCTACCAGAGTATTTAATGTAATGTATTTCTTCATTCAAGCAACATTAGATTAGATTGGATTTTGTTTCTTATTTTAAGTGTAAGAAGTGTTTTGTTTTTTTCCTCATTTTAAGTGTAGCAAGATGTAGTTTCTGATTTTAAGTACAAAAAGCCTTGTTCCATTGGCAGATCATTGTACTTGTCAAGTGAAATTGACTCAAATTGTGATAAAACTCTCTTATTTCAAGTATTCTTAACTTTGCAATGTTTTAGTTTTTGCAGTGCAGGTTTAATCAAAAGAAACAGAAAATACACACCAAAATTCTTGTAGAGGTGCAACTGCAAGGAGCAGCCAGACAAAAGTGAAAAAATGCATAGCACACTCAGATGGCCGATGCATCAGTTTCACAGTGCGGGTTTAAATCAGGACTAAACTAAGATTAAACCAGGACTACATCAGGTCTAAACCAGGACTAAAACAGGATTACCACAACTTTTGACTAATCTGATCCTCCTCAACAGTAAAGAGGAGAATAAATTACCAAAATACAGAAATCTGTGTTTGCAAATGACCATAAAGCAGAAAAAAATAAAATAAAATAAAATAAAATGCAGCGACAGAAGTTCCTCAGATTATGACAGACACAAGAATGCACAATGTTACACTCTCTTTTCACAATTTTATTTATACCAAACATCCCAACCCGTAAATCTGGTAAACCTAGATACAACTCAAGATCAATCTACAGACAGGACAGGTTCATTTCTCTCAATTTCTGTTCAAATGAATATTTAGATTCAATACAAGACAGATTTTTGATACAGAACGGGAAGAACAGTAGTCAATTTCAGATATATAGGATAATATAAGATAAACTCTGTTTGTCTCACAGTAGGGACATAAAAGTTACAACGCAGAGTACAAGAACAACAGGTGAATAAACACTATTCAATACAAATAAATGACTAATAGCTTTTTAATCTAACCATTTAACCATAATATTAGAAATGACTTTGAAAAGAGTTGAGATACAAAAGGAGTGAAAAAATACAAATAAAAAGTACAATGTCAAATCTGAGGCTGTATGTAAGGTCAATCTGATAACAAACATCTATTGCCAGCGCCGCAGGTTTGTAGAATAATTCCACTGAAAACCTTAAATAAAACTGTAATAACATGTGGTAATAGTGGAACAAAGCATCTACACACACACTATCAACAGAGTAGAAATATCTTATACTACTATATAAGTACTTTGGTTCTTCTTTTTTTTTTTAATTAAAAGTTGCCTAAATGATGTAGATCCAGATTTAAAAAAAAATATATAAAAAAAATACAAGAATTTTAAAATGTAAATTAACTTGAATTTTGAAAATGCTTTAATCTCACATAACCAACCTTTGTATCATACATGGTTTGTGTATTTGTTCTCATTCACCCAAACATCACCAGTGTGCTGTGTATGACTTTATTTTAGACATTACTTACATACAGTATTATAGGCCTGGAAACAACATGGGAATAGAAAAGAAAGTAGTAACGTTTAACTCAAGTCATTTGGCATCCACAGCAAAAAGTGATGTGTTCAAATTGACTCTCACAGAATTGATTTGAACATTTTATCAGGGTTTATCTGTTCTAGAGTTAATTTAACATTTTTGGTTCCTGTTTAACCCTCAAATCAAGAGTTATATTCACGTTTTGAGAGTAAACAGATAACACTTTGTAGGGTTATCCTGATATCCTTGAGGTGTTTTGTTTTTACACTTTCATTTTGTTAATTTAAGTTGAAATTATGAACAAAACTGTTTCAAACTGGTCTTCACTCGCAGGACTTTGAAGTGGTGGGTGGAAGGTGCCATATTAACACTAAGGGAAGTTGAATTAACACTAAAAGAAGTTGAATTAACACCATAAGAAGCTGAATTAACACTAGGGGAAGTTGAATTAACACCAAAAGAAGCTGAATTAACACTAGGGGAAGTTGAATTAACACTGAAATAATTTAAATTAACCGTAAAACAATTACAATTAACACTAAAAGAAGTTGAATTAACACTAGGGGTAGCTGAATTAACACCCACGAACCCCCATTTAATTTTAGAATACTCTGAAATATTGACCCTGAAATTTGACCCCTCCAGTTTTTGCTGTGCGCCATGTTTGGGGGAAGTAAACGTTTTACAGTGGCTTTAAATCCCATAAAACCTTTCTTCCTTGAACGCACCATAATCTCTTTAAACTGACAGGCTGCGGCTCCACCACTATTCACACCCCCAGCTGTCAATCACCTCAGTCTGACCAATCCCAGCGCGTCTGTGCCTGTCTGGTCCCGCCCCTCCGGTCAGCCGCTCTAAACCCTCTCCAAACACAAACCTGGATCACTATTACGCACGGACCGTGGCATGGACAGACGCGCGCCTGTTCCCACGAGCGGAAAGGTGGGGCCCGCTAGCCTGCGGCACCTCGGGGTCAGAGGTCAGAGGCGCGTGCGGAGCTTATTATTGTTTTGGAGGGAAACGTGGAGGAGAGTACAGATGTGCAGCAGAAGCAGAACTCTCTTCACTTCCTCAAACGCTGAGTCAGGGTCAGAAAGAGGAACCACTGTCCCTGTGCGGAGTTTAGTGACACGTTTTATTCTCTGCTCGTCTATTCTGTGGTTTAAGGCAAAGTTCAGATCTGTTGTTTTCAGAGTCTTATATTTAATAAAACACATGTCTAGGCCTATATATTTAAAACTGCATTGTGAGTCTAAGTTCAAAAACCTGTACCAGATTTTTCCTAATTTATTTGAACAAAGTTTGTCTTGGCCCAGTACAGATATATTGTATAAGCAGCTCTACTTTGGACCACTGCAAACAGTTTTTAAAGATTCTACATTATAAATTATAGATACTTTTTAAACTACCTTTGGACACTACAGCTCGAGTATTACACATTTTTACATTGTGAAATATTCCAGGCAAACCAATACTCCAGAAAAGTGACTAAGTCAAGTCTCAAAAGCTCAATAAAATGGGTTGAACCTGACATGGTCTGCCATACTTTTTGTTTGTGTTTTTTTGTTGTTGTTGTTGTTAACTGTGACCCTAAGGGCCAATAATTGAAGGGTCTGCTCTTCCAGAAATATCGTGAAAAAAATTTTAATTTCCTGAAATCCTCACTGGGTTAGGTAAGCTGTCAATAAATGCATTCCAAATGCAAAGAACACATGTGGTAGCAACATTCAGTGAAAAAAATATTCCTGAAACACATTTCTACATGATTGTCATCTTTACCTCATTGGCAATCAACTATTCCCATGTGATGATTTCAGAATGTTGAGAGTACCCTAACATTCTATTGAGGTTCCGGGCCTGTTGACGGCCAACTAGTAATGAAATCATCACAGATCCATTGATTTTGGTTGGATTTTTATATTTTTTTCTGTGAAATGAGTTTACTGTTTGGAGAAAGGAATGGCATATTGGCTTATGTCATAACTTGGGTGAGCAGTTGATTTCCAGTGAGGTAAAGATGAAAATATTGGAAAAAAGTGAAAAAAAAAAAAAAAGTCTTTTTTTTTTTTTTTTTTTTTGCATTAAATTGAGCCAACATCATGTAGAAATTTGTTTCAGGAATTATTTTTTCACTGAATGTTGCTACCACATGTGTTCTTTGCATCTGGAATGCATTTACTGACAGCTTACCCAACCCAGTGAGGATTTCAGGAAATTTTCATTTTTCAAAATTTTCTATCAAAAAATGAAAGTCACATACACTAAACGGCCATAATTTCTTTTTCATGATATTTCCGAAAGAGCAGACCCTTTAATTATTGGTCCTTAGGGCCATATTTAACAAAACAAAACAAAAAAAAACACAAATAAAATGTATGGCAGACCATGTCAGGTTCAACCCATTTTTGAGACTTTGGCTCCTCGACTAGTCATAATACACTGTAAAATTGTGTAGGGAGCGGTTGCCCTGTTCTGAGTTTGAGTTATGTTTTATAAATTCACCGTTGATAAAACCTCTACAGAAATTCTGAAATAGTCTTTGTCAGGGTTAGGGTTAGATAAGACGTATCCCTCTCTTCTGGTTCATAGGTGAGTTATTATGAAACCCTGTGTACATTGCTTTACTCATAATCCCTTGCGCTTATGAGTAGCTTATGTTTTGTTTTGTGTGGAGGTCTGCGTCTCGAGGCAGAGCTGGATTCTCGACGTGATTATGAGACAAATCCATAAATCCACAGATGCATTGTGCCTGGTCCCAAGCACAGGCCTGTACTGCCCTGACGCTCACATTCACACTCACACTCACACACACACTCACACA